CTGTATATTGCAGAAATGGTCAGTATAACACCAAAATATCTGTCTGTTTGGTATGTAATTACAAATTCATTCCGTTGAGTGCAGGAAAATACTTTTTATGTTATGTCAGTCTGTCATATCTCTTTTCTAATTTCATGTTTGTTTTTATTGAAAACTCCTAGAAATTGCTTAATAATTTGTGTATCATGATTAGTCGTAGCAGATAAATATAACAAGCTTCTTTGGGCTTACTAAAAAAAATTGCCATGTAACAGAACTGTTAAGAGTAAGATATAAAAATAGTAAAAGAAAAACAATCAATGTCAATGGCAGCCTCTTCAAACTGAGAGGTAATAAGATGTTATGCTTGTGTTTGTACTGTAGTCTTTGGCACACCAACATAAACTTGTTATGTCTGCATCAGGCTGTATCCAACAATCCTCTTATTTATTTTCTTTCCAGATTACAAGGAGAGCATTGTTCCCAGGTGATTCAGAAATTGATCAGTTATTTCGCATCTTCAGAACGATGGGCACCCCAGATGAGCAGACCTGGCCTGGAGTAAATAAATTACCTGATTTTAAAAGTTCATTTCCAAAATGGCCACAGCAAGATCTGAGTAAAGTTGTTGGGTCGTTAGATATGGATGGACTAGATTTACTGAGAGTAAGTATTATAACCAATATAAAGAGGATTCTATTTCTAAGAGGCCACTATTAACAGCATCCTGATTACAAACTTCCCTCCTAGTTCTCACTAACCATGTTTATGACAATTGAAAAACAGCAAATGTCTTGATTACAAACTCCATCGGTAGTTCTAATGTTTTCACTGTGAAATCCATTCATTTAACCTGTTTTATTGTATTGTAATCTGTCAAAAATCTATCAGTTTATCTGGCTGGAAGCGAAATGCCAAAATGGTTCCATGCATCAGAAAGATGTTTCTTTTAGAGAATGTCTGATTCACAGTCATTTAATTTAATAGGCAATATGATATGCAAGTTTCGCATCATGACAGTACCTGTGGTATTGTATAACGGTAAAAGAAAGTACCAAGATTTGTGACTTTTTGGGGCTATGAGTTGTAATATAAGATTATTACGAGACTACTGCAAAATCGTATCTACCATAACCAACATGTAGCAGAAGGTGATGTGTTACCGTACTGCCTTGGTGAATACTTTGCGATGATAACCTTATTATTGTACATCTTTTATCTGCTTGAAGTAATAATTTTATGAGTCTTATTCGTGTACAAAATGCAGCAGCCCGCCTTATCACTCGTGCTCGAAAATATGACCACATTACAGACATTTTTATTAAACTTCATTGGTTACCAGTTGTACAAAGAATCAATTTCAAATTACTTTTACTAGTGTATAAATCTTTGTATGGTTTTGCCCCAAATTATCTATGTGAATTAATCGAATTTTATGTACCGAGTCGTAGTTTAAGATCTGAATCGAAGTTTCTTATTAAAACTCGTCAGATGAGTAGTAAAAAGTCCAAGGTGTTATACAAAGACCATGCTTTTGAAAATTTAGGTCCTAAACTTTTTAATGAATTACCTCTGTCTGTTCGTTCTAGTCCTTCAGTAGACATTTTTAAATCTAGACTGAAAACGTACTTATTTAAATGTGCTTTTAATATTTGACTGATTGTTTATTGTATCAGCGCCTTTGATCTTCATATGTTGGAATTGTTGCGCTTAATTAAATAAAGTTATTATTTATTATTATTATTATTAAATAACAGCCTGAAATGGCAAAGTACATTCATGCTGAGTGCACAGTAACAGGATTCTATTACCATCACATGCTGACAGTGTTTCTGCATCTCAAGTAAACACCTAAGTGTTTGGGTGTGACGTAATAGGTGATGCATAATTTCAAATTAGAAAGACATGTTCATAACACTTTCGAGTTTGTTTTACCGTCTGTTAAATTGTTTTCGGTGTCAGATAATAATGTATTTTGTTTTGCTTACAGCAAATGTTGACGTATGAACCAAACAAACGAATGTCTGCCAAGACTGCACTGAGCCACAGATACTTCAGGGACGTCCAAGTTCAAATACCAGAACATTTACCAAAGTAGATTGAACATTACGCTTCAGTTGCTGTTTACATACTAAATTGTAGTTGTGAATTCAGCTGCAGTGTTTAAAGTGAACAAAATAAGAAACGAAATTGTGTTATATATGGTGCGGTGCCTAAACACATTAAAGAAGTGCCATACAAAATATCCAATTATGCCATTTCATTGTAGTAATGGCTGCCTAACCTGCCATGTGTTTATCAGTGGGGAGTCAGCAGATTTATACATAAACTGACATGCTCATTAGAGCAAAAAAAAAAATGCTTGTCATCAATGAAGAGAGATATTTTGAACCAAACATCAGAAAAAAACATTTTGCCTACTTACTGTAAACTAACTTTATTTTTATTGATGAAAAAACTTAGGGCATTTTATATAGAACTTTTATTTTCACAAAATCATCCTTTCAGCGAAAATAAAGTATTTGACAGCTAGTAAGTCTTTCAAGACAGTTTGAGCCAAATTACAATTTATAATACTAAGCATGTAAACTGCGCATGTTGGCAATGCATTATCAGAGATAGGCTCCTATTGTATATGATGAAAAACTATTATCACCTTGGAAACTCACTATTCAATTGTGTACATTTTTAGAAATGTTTTCCCAAAATGTAGATTCATAAATATAATATTGTACAACTTTTACATCCCTCATCAACAATTTTTAGATATGAAGAAATAATCTCATCATAGAAACAAGTGTAAAATGCCAGTTTCAAAAAAAAAATTTGGATTCTAATATTAAATTGTCTGACCCCAATTGCTTTTTCTTTCATTTTCCATATCCTGATGGCATAAACTCGTAATAATGAAAGAACACGCCTTTTTCAATTTGGCTTGAACCTTTTAAACACAAGTGCTAAGTAGCATTAGTTGTATTTGTCTGAGAAAAACATTGATAATAGCTACCATGGCTAAAACTATTTTTTCCCTTTGTGAAAGCCAACATTGCTTTAAAAAAAGCATCCAGTTCTTTGACATCAATCAGGTCATGTACAAAAAGATGAACCAGTAACATGTTATTATATATATCAGATGTCTTTAATAGGCAAACAGTTTTAAAGGCGATTTACACCTCAAATAATGGTGTCTTTCATAAGACTGCTGATGGGAAGAACTTGTGTATTGGTGTTTCAATTTTAAAAGCAATTAACAACCTCTTTTCTGAAAGTGGCATTTATTACTAACCCACAAATGTACTCACTAGCACGCTGCAATAATAATGTAGTCATGTCAAGTGGGTATCCCTGATATGGGTTCTTTGATTTGCAATTTGATTAACAATAAGTAACTAGCTGGGTGGAAATATTCAGATGGAATGTTGGAGCCACTATTTCTACATTGCTGAATAATTTCACTACTGAGTCCCAGCTACGCGTACCATTATGTAATTTGTGCTTTCGTCTGATTATGTCCAACTTCCAGCTGGAATTGTTGATGTCAACATTTGAGAAGAAAGTGAAGGATTAACAAAGCAAAGTTGATGCAATTCCTGCATTTAGCGGCCTTGGAAACAGAGTTGAAGGTTGATGCAATTCCTGCATTTACAAGTAGTGGCCTGGGAAGCAGAGTTGGAAGTTGATGCAAACCTTTCATTTAGTTTTGTGCAGTAATGCATGTACATTCATTTAGTTATTTTTTGTTTAGTTACAGTACTAGTATTCTTGTTCATAGATTAGGTTTGTTGGAAGGGAATGCGTCTATTGGTTTTTTAAGTGCAAAGTATTTATAAAAACCTTGCTTTTTTAGAACATAATCTTGTAATATATTTTATAACTGTTAAATTCTATGTGTGTGTAAGTTTTAGATCAGAGTGACTATTGTATGTTAAAGACGTACTGGTACAGTATGCATGTTGAACAAAATTTATTAAACGTTTTCATGATCTTAATATTGTTGCACTGGAAGAATGGTTGGTACATGTGAAATGCAAGGAAATCTGTTTTTTGTGATATTTACTGATCTCGGCCTTTGTCTTGTGCTTTAAATTGGTATGGTTAAAGAGCTTGTACAAACTACATTCTCGGAAAGATTTAAACAAGATACAGTCTGAAATAACTATTGAACATCTTCAGTATGGTAATTCTTGTACATAAAAACTATTCATATCTGCTTGAAGACTTGCTCACTCTTATCTCTTCATAAATGAGATAAAAATGACTAAATTACGAACTAGTGCAATAAGGTGCACACACAATTGAACGAGAGTCTGAGTCCCATGGCAGATAAATGATAAGTTGGCCCAGGACTGTAAATGGGGGAAAAATAAAGTGGATAGATGATAATTTCCTTGTTTCTGATTGGCTAATCTGGTTATTCCAGCCTCTGCTTCTGAGGGTGCATGAAAATGGTTCTTTCCCGAGTTTCAGAAAAAAAAGCAGCCCCTTGGCTGAGTTAGCGCCGCTGTAACCAAAAATGACAAATGCAGTTTACCGGTATATTTATCAAAATTAAAGATTTGAAGATATTACGAAATAAACAAATCTGAGAGATGTCTACCTGTAGTACCTATGTGTATAATATCAAAGCAATCAGACTTGCGATTTTCAACAAGGACTCGAAAATATCTCTTTACCAAAAATTAGAGAAATCATCACGAAATGAACAAATCTGAGAGAGGTCTGCCCAAGGTACATATACACCAAGAATCAAAGCAATAAGAATTGTAGTTCTCAAGAAGTCGAAATAGTAAAAAGTGACACTGACATCATATGATATGACAAGCTCTGTTTGAGAAAGTCAACAACAAAGCTAAAGGTCAATAAGATTAGCCATGCAAAGAAGCTAATTTTGGCCATCATCTATCATATATTTCATTCCTTAGGTAAAATTTGTTGTAAAGATATGTTTAGGGCAGTCCACTATTCTACTACAGTGTTCATTGCATGGAGCAGTGACAACATAATTTTTTTAACATGATTTTGATTTATAGCCCAACATTCACAACTATTTCAATGTTCTGTGTACAGATCTTTTGTAAACCACGATGGTCTTTTCCTTGGTACTTCCACAATGTGTTTGTCTTTATCTTGCTCACTCACTTTTTCTCCTTCATAGAGTACGATAGTTTCCGTTTGTGGGGTGTTCCAACTCCACTCTTTGCCCAATTTTTCACGAACAGCTTCGGTTTCAGCTTTCACCTTTTCCAAACAGTTTCTGTGAATTAGAAAGAGAACGAAAATATCAAACATAATTATTTGGACATGCGTAACTATAAATCGTCACTATACTGCTTGTACAAATGTGGAAACCAGATGGGGTAGCCATCTCGCAATTTTTCACTGTTTTGAGAAATTTCACTGGGTTTAAGTTCACAAACTTGACAGGGACAATTATTATACTATGTGTTCGTTCATTTGAATCTAAATCACCAAGTTCGAAAAATTAAAAACTAATGCATTTACAGTACAGTAAGTGGTAATGAATGATTAACTGATGATTTTAGCTGACACAAAATTATGTAACTTCAACTTTGCAAGGGCATATAGAAAGGGACATTCCATTTCTGAGTTAGGTTGATATATAATTGCTTGATAGACTAAATGCTGTCTATGAAAATCTATGAATAATAGACAGGTGAATCAGTCTGGAGGAATGTAGGCGAGCCAATCAGTGATTATGCAGAATTCTGTGCTGTGCAAAGTAAGCGATTATAAAATCAAGCAAATAATTAAGCCACATACAGTAAATATTGTTTCAATCAGTCTACTAATAATCACTGGTAAGTGGTAAAAGTCGTATGTTCACTGAAAGTAACTGGGGTATTCTGGTATAATTAGATGTGTAAATTCTGCTTGGATCTGACAACTACAGGAATTCCATGAGGTTTAACACTTGTCACAAACTAAAACAATGTTCTCACCCGCACAAGTGATATAGTAGTTTGGGTTGTCCACAAACTTCACAGGCAACAATATCTGGTTTTGACTTCAATCGCTTCTCAGTAGCTCTTCTCCTCGTGCGTCTTCTTTCCAGAGATCTTCTGGATTTCGGTGCAGCCCATAAGAACCCATCAAATATACTTTTTATATCAAAACTGGAGCTATCTGATCCAACATCTATAGAGGGTTGGTGGAAAGCCAGGGCAGGAGCTGAATCAATAAGTTTAACCTTTAAATGTTAGCCATTGATTAACCTAGCTAGTTGTAGCTCTATGCGAACTATGTGTACAGTACATTCTGTCATTATTTTCCTATCTTTCACATTTGTATTTCAGCCACAGCAGTACCTGTCTAAACTTACTATGAGAAAACACAAATAACTTTTATTATGATCGTCCTTTAATGAAATGATCTAATAGTTTATTCAATACCCAGTGTGCAGTTTAAAAGGCAAGATGACAGTGTGTGATGCAAGCACAACAAATGGGAAAGCAAAAGTGACAAATGAGAGAATGTGCCTGACAGCTCCAGGGTTGCAGAGATCAAAAATAGAAAAATAAGGTAGTGCTGAATGGATCAGTACTTTTATTTTTGACTCCCATGTGTGAAGCACAAAATGGGAGTCTTTGCAGTTAGTGTGTCTGTATGTGTGTGTGTATGTGTGTATGTGTGTATGTGGGTATGTGTGTATGTGTGTGTGTGTGTATGTGTGTCCGACTGTTCCACTGCTATCTCAAGAACCATACATCGGTTTTTGATGAAACTTGGTGCATAGATGCTCTGGGCCAATGCGCAGATTTGATTAGGTTTTGGTAAAAATCCATGCTCGTTAATTACCTAATTTGCATGATAATTAGCTAATTTTTAGCTGTTCTATGACTGTTCCACTGATATCTAAAGAACCACTCATTGGATTTTGATGAAACTTGGTACATAGATGCTCTGAACATATGCGCAGATTTGATTAATTTTTGGTAAAAATCTGTGCATATTAATTACCTAATTTGCATGATAATTAGCTATTTTTTTAGTGGTTCCATGACTGTTCCACTGATATCTAAACAACCACTCATTGGATTTTGATGAACTTGGTACATAGATGCTCTGAACTAATGCTAGGTTTTGATTAGTTTTTGGTATAATCCGTGGACACTAATT